AAAATCAAAAATTTTCTTAGAACTTTTACATTTCATAGGGACTCATAGGGACATAGGGACAAGTAATAAAAAACTCAATAAATCAGACTAGAAAGTCCAAAAAATGACATTAGAAATGTCCCTAAGAGTGTCCCTATGAATTTTTCTTATAGGGATAGAGACATTTCATAGGGACAAACAATCTGTTATAGTTTTTGTATTAATTGCCTACCTTACATGCACTCAATATTTCTCGAAAGTAGCAAGAAGTTGACGAATAACTAAAAGCACAGTAAAATTAATGAAAATTTCGACCAGCACTATTCTATAATTTCAGCCACGAACATGCTCTTTTGTTTTTTCATTATACTTGGGTGAACCAAGCATTCGCAAGGAAAATTAGCATACTCATTGTCTCAACCAGTTTAAACCATAATCGAACCCCAGAAGTGCTTACAATATTCCTTGAAAATCTTAGAAGCATATTACCTTTGGCCTCGCTCTTGGTAACGGGAAGTATCCAGAATCAAAGAGACAGTAAATTTAGTTAATTATGGCAAGCACTATAGTATAAATTCTTGCTAAACTTTAGACACAATAACTCAGCAACCAAGAAGTGATCTAAAACTGGCGAACTAATAGAGCTTTTTTGGTTCTCTACTAGTCCCCTGTCAGTATCACGATAGTTCTAGGCACTATTGGGTCACTACTATGGTACTGATCAAAATACGTGTTTTAAAGATTGGCCAGAATTATGCTATAGAGTCGGCCAAAATTAACTACAATTTATTGCGCTACCTGTCACCTTTTTTTACACTATTTCAGTATCTTAAAAGGTAACCAAATAGGCGCAAAAAGATAAGCACCTCAATATAAAACCCGGTACCTAAAATGATACCCAAGATGGCCCCAAAATAGCATCTAAGGCACCTCCAAGATAGAATCCAAGACGATCTCCAAACAGGCCACAAAGCACCGAAAACGGTAAATAGGTAACAGTATACTTATACCTAGGTAACACTATACTCATAACTAGGTAACACTATACCCATAACTAGATAACATTATAGCGCAACTCGATAACAGTCTTATAAGACTGTTATCAAGTATAGGTTTCTAAAAAAGAATCTCTAAAATACTATACTACTTAGCGATGTTACCCAAACCCAACTAAAGGGGTAATTACATTTCTACCTAATTTTGGAATGATATTGACCATTATTGTAATCCCAAACCTAACAACCAATCAACATGCATAGTGATCGAATAAAACTTTTATTATCGTGATGGTTATCATGATAATATTAGTTTTTGCCCTATATCCATTAGTAGTGTTTAGTTAGCAAGAAGGATCAGAAGCCTTAATTGCATTTAATAATTAGAATTTTATAAATTTGTTTTTTATCTTGTTTAAAATCGTTTAGAATAGTGAGCTAAACCTTTTTGTTTGAAAAATAAAGAATGAATATAATCTCGTATGATTAAAATAAATAAAAAATTTTATAAAATTTATCAATTTCGTTTTTTTTTTTATTTTTTTTTTATTACGCTTATTAACCAAAACCTTATAATGGAAAACTTATGCGAAAATACTTTTGACATATCACAAAATAGTGAAAATATTGAGAACCAAAATGAGGAAATAAGTTCTCAAAATAAATCAGTAAATAAAGGTGGACGTCCAAGATCTGATATTTGGAATGAATTTAACTATGGAGAATCAGATGGTAAAGGCCATTATGGTGCACAATATCGATACTGTATTAAAGGAAGGTGGAAACGGAGCAAACCTTCAGTTATGGAATCTCACCTAGCTCTCTATTGTAAAGGCAATATTCCCGATAAAATAAGACAGCATTGGCTAGTTCAAGTTGCAAAAAGAAATGATAAGGATACTGACCATAGTGATAACAAAAGTGTATCTTCAAGATCTAAATCTTCATATTCATATTCCAAGCCTTTATGGCTCGTATAACAGTTCGAACCAATAATTTACTTAAAAGAGAACAAAATTTAACACTAGATATGTATGTGTAGTATGTAATAATTAAATGGAGTTTAATATATAGTTTGGCAAGTATAAAATTATACTGTAGAGAGCTGTATATATATGCAGCGCTATATGGTAAATATATTTTTGTTTCAAATTAAAAACTGCTGTGATTGTCAATTTGTCAAAAAGCTTTAGGTTACATCACTATGTAGTCACATTAAATTTTTGTTACCAATTCAATGAATACCGGTATATCAGGTTAGACTATATAAAATTATGTTATTTTATTAATATATAATTTTTTTAAAAAATAGCTCTCGACAGTTGGTCAAGTCCAACAAATGACTCATTATATAATTTTATAATTTCTACATCGAATCGAAAAGAATATTTGTATTCTATATCAGACTTTTCAGACACAATTCAAGCAGGGGAATTTCTCGCTTCGAAAATTTCCAATATTATTGATGAAGTTGGGTCTAATAAATTTATAGCATGTATAATAGACAATGGAAGCAATATTTGTGTTGCTCGTAAGATTATGATATTTAACTATTCACATATTTGGAACATAAGATGTGTTGCTCATGCACTAAACCTTATTGCAAGTGATATTGTAAAGAATCAGTCTGTTGATCATGTCTTAAAACAGGCTAATTAAATCGTTCAATTTTTTTAAAAGTCACATAAAGCAAACTGGCTTCTTCATGATGGTATCAAAAATATGAATTTGGATGGTGGTGGTTTAGAAACATATTGTAAAACAAGATGGGCTTCTATTTTTAGAACTACATCTTCAATAGTAAAATTGAAGCCCGTTTTTGACAAGTAAAATAATTATACTGTATATACAGCATTCCACGGTCTATTACGTGTATTATTTAATACTGTATATATTTTTTTTAGATTTAAAGTGTAATCAAAATGCAATTAGTAAAAAAGCAATTATTTCACTATTGAATAATAATGATGACACATTCTATACAAATTGTCGTCAAATTGCATCTATTATTCAACCTATTAAGGAAGCAATATATAATTTAGAATCTCGTACAGCGAATCTTGCAGATTGCTTTGTTAATATAGTAAAGTTGGCTGCAGCAATTAAAAAAATTCCTACAAATAACACTTTTCATAACTTAGCTATTGCTATATTTAATAAACGCTACGCCGAATTTGATATTGAGCCCTATCTTCTTGCATATTTCCTCCATTCCAAATATAGAGGTATTGTGTTTAAGTTTAAAATTAAACAAAAAACTTAGATTAGTTATTTATTATTGGGTTTAATAATGACTTTAATGTTTTATGTTCTAATCAAAAACTTGATAAAACTTGATTCGATATATAGATCTTGGCTTACATAAAGGAATATTTCACCAAATTTGTGAAATCGCCGTCAAATTCTATAAAAGTACACACAATGATAAAGCTGCATGCTGGCAATTGACTACATAGCTAATTCGTTACAAAAATGTAAAATATCCATTTGATTTTGACTATGATTTTTCTATGCCACCTGCTTCGTGGTGGGGTACCATTGATGACAACTATAAACATATTCAAGATCTTGCAAAGCTTATATTTGCAGTTGTGTTCTCATAAGTGAACTGCGAACATAATTTTTCTATTCTAAGGTGGTTATATGGTATATACTGTTCACGACTATCACTTCAGCGGCTTGAAAGTATAGCTAAAATTCATTCTTATTACATTTCTAATCTTCAAACTGAACTTAAATTTTATAGAAAAGAGTTGTCAGAGAGTGAGTTACATGAAAGTGCATTAAACCAAACAACATATGCAGAAATAGAAAATACTAACATAATGTTAGAACAAAATGAAGATATTTTAACATCTTTTCATTTTTTAAATCATGAAAAACTTGAAATAGACTTAATTGTTAATTTGTCAAATACAAATTTTGGTGGTCAAGGTGATAATGAAGAAGTATCATGTACAACAACAGCAATACAAGGAAGTGAAAATATGGAGTTCGAACCTGCCACAATAGTGGAAAGTGAATTTCGATTCGCAAATGCAAATTTTTTATAAAATTTGTCTTTTTTTTTTTAATTGACACTCATTTTAATGATCAATTTTTTGGTCATGAAGTTTTTTTTGTCGCAATTTTTTTTTTGTTGCGATGAAGTTTTTTTGTCACACTCTTTTTTTTTATCGTGATGAAGTTTTTTTTGTCACACTCTTTTTTTTTGTTGCGATGAAGATTTTTGTCGCACTCTTGTTTTTTTCTTTACAAATTTGTGTAATACTTGTTTTTTAGATATATGTAAACTGGGGTTTATACTTATTTTACCCAAGCTACAGAATAAATAAAAGTTAATTGCTATGAAATAATTGTGGCACAGTTGACGGTGCAATCACATGATAAGTTCTTTGTTATCGTTTATGCAATTTATGCATAAGTTAGGGATTTTTACCCAATTGTAAAATCTAGTAAAAACCCTTTCGGATTCTACTAAAACCCAAACTACCGGGTTTGGGTAACATCGCTAATACTACTATAGTGAAAAACAATTAGGATTAGGGTAGAGTTTGGAACCGGATTTGACCTTCGGATTTAAATCCGAATTCCTTCGGATTGGATTTAAATTCGGATATAAAAC